AAAAAAAAAAATTTAATAAATAAATTTAAAAATATAACAAAGCCACTACGTACCGGTAAGTACAAGTTCATCTCCTGCCTTAAGTGGTTCGTGATCATATTCTACGGCTTGCGTGTGCTCATCATACTCAATGCTGTCGTTTAAATGCAGTAAGGCAATGTCATTTGCATAAGCCGGACTGTTGTAATTGCAGTGCGTAACTATGCGATCTGGATAATAATATTTACTGGTATTGTTTAGTAAGTTATGTGTGCCGGTTAATACTTTAACGTTTTCTGCCTTCTGGCCTATCAAACAGTGTGAAGCTGTTATAATCCAACGTTTGTCGATTATAGCACCACCACAAAAATGCCGTCCTTTAAGTGTTTGCAATGATATTTGATAAGGTGCAATATCAGCTGCTGCATCTTGACCGCCTACTATACGGTTAGTAGTATATTGTGGCGGATACAGAATATCCGATTCTAAGCCTTCTGCTGAGGTTACGTGCGAATAGAATAAAAGTATTCCAAATAGCAAAAATCCCAAGTGCTGCAGTCTTCCCGATGTGTTGTACATTTCGCCTGCGTTATAACACAGCAACTGAGTTTTATGCACCTTGCATTCGTGCTTTATATACTCTACATACCAGAAACCTATTTTATATGCCAATCACGCTTTATATTTGTTATTTATCGTCCATGATGTAAAACCCTTTTAAGCGTTTATTATGTGTCAGCGTCCTGCTGTGTTTGCGTTTAATAGCTGATAGGCGGTATAGTTTCCGTAGAGTAATTCAGTACCTCGCATTTTATAATGTTTTCATGACAATATTTATCCACTCTCTTCTGTGGAAATTTAATAAAAATTTTAGTAAAGTTCAATTTAATTGGTTGGTATGAATTAATTTTATTTTATCAGTTAGTTTGTATGCACATTTTTTGTGGTTCAAGGTAATACATATATTCTATACGCTAATTAATTTAATGGTTACAATGTTTCTGACATTATTTAATAACATTGTTATACCCAAGTATATAGCTGAAATTGGTACCGGTAGCATTTATTAGAATTTCAATAGGGTCATTTATCATTGCATTATATTAATACCGTAGAGTTAAGTTTTAAAGACAGATAATCACGTTTGAAAACTATGGAGCCCGTGTGAAGTTAAAGGGCGCTATAGAAAATGTTAAATAAAAATATATTTTCCATATATACTTATAGACCTCCAAATTTTAATAAATTACTTTCACAGAAATCATAGTGAAATCATCTATAAATACTAGAACTTGTTGTTGATAGTCAAATGGAGAATAGTTACGATGTATTTTTAAGTCATACAACAACAGTTGTTATTAAAAGTTGTTACAAGTTTTACTCATTACTCTGACATTTTTATATGTGAATTAAAAAAATATTACAACTAGAAAGCTGGTAACTACTTTATTGAAGCACTAATTAATAAATTTATTTCTTATCTTGAATGTAAATTATTACGTTGAATATATTTTTAGAGATAATACTTACACCCTATGTGTATCCCTCTCGACTACACCATAAAAAAAGTTGGCTGCATTCTCTTATGGAGCTATGAGGAAAATGTTTTACTATTCGTCTTAATGGATATGTTTTTGATTTTAAGCACAAGATATAAATTTTTTTCTATATTGGGTTGTTTTTTCTTATACATCTTCTTATATATCGGGAAAATCTTCTCACGAAATCGTGCATATTTTCGTCACTAAGTTTTTCTTATTAAAATGAAAATTAATTGCAAAAACAATAGATAGTGTTGTAAAATTTGAAATATTTGTATAAAAGTTTGCTCAAATTTTTAAGGGTGTCGGAATTTCTGACTTGCCTACTGTAGTGCTGTTAGGTAAGCCTTTTTCTTGCTTTTGCCGTTTGTTGATGCTATTAAGTAGCACTTTTAATTCAATTTACAATGGATGTATCCGAACTAACTTAATTAAAGAATGTGATTAATTTTTAATACAGTAATTAATATGTTAATTAAATGTACTTGAATTAATGGAACGAACAAGTAAAATATACATAGTAGAGACTTCACTTTAAACATCATTTTTATCAGTTCTCATCTCCATTTCATTATGACATTATCAAGAGTCAAGTTGTGAGCTTAGAAAACCACGTAAGAATATTAAATTCGGACCGTAGTGGTCGTCTGGAATTTGGAAACAATAGAATTTCAAGAGGTATCATCTGCACTCTGATACTATAGAGTAATTGAAGTGTGATTACCATTTTATTTGGAAAATGTTTAGCTTAACAATTGAAAAATTTTTAAGGCGGATAAAAAAATCTTTAACCAAAATATGATGAAGTGCATAGTGCAACTAAGAATTGCTCTTCAGAGTTTTTTAAAAATTATCCATATTTTATAACAAAATATTCTATTTATTATTATATACATGCGTTTCTCTATAGTTGATAATATGTCGGTTCAATTTTAAAACTATGGTTCATCATTTACGGCTTACAATCAAGTCTCCAGTTCTTCTTAAGTTAAAGTTCTTTGCGAAACTTTAATGAATAATCATTTGAATTTGAAATAAATTTAAAATATACTTTATTTTCAATGTAAAAACAGAGAAGAAAAGAGGAGCTTTAAATATTAAATTCTAGCTTAAAAACTAAATAAAAATGTTATATACAAATTAAATGAAAGACAGATAATGCAATAAAAACTAAACTGCATCGTAAGCCTCTTAAGCCTTGTAACAGCTTTAGAATTAACTAAAGATACATCGAAGATCTCTAATACTGACTCGGTGGCAAATACTGATTACCAATGCTGTTACCATTCACCAATGATTGCTGATCCAATTGCGTTATTTGTTGCTGTTGTTGTGAACTTTGTTCCTGTGGCAATTGCTGCAATTGTTGTTCATCAATTTCCTCTTCCTCAGGAGCATCTAATGAACCTACAACAGATGTTACTGGTGCCACACCCTCATCTGTAATAGTGGAACTGCCACCCAAACTATCGTATTGTGTTTGAATTTGACGCTGAGCATGTGCAGCTTCTTCAGCTGTGCGATATTTGATAAAGAAGACTTCTGGTTTATTAACATGTTGAGGTGCTTCGGCAATGGCATCTTGCAATTCCGTAGCTGAAGTCTTCTTCGACAGGACATAAACAACAGTTTTTTCTTGTTTCAGTGATTTGGCAAGATTGAGAGCAGCAGCCTTGCTGGTTTGTGTTGGTGTCTTGACGAAAAGCACATTGTAGTGTTTACGTGGTTGTTGTGCTAATTGTGCTAACTCTTCTTCTATATCATCATCGGTTTCCTCTGGAGCGGCGTGTATGAAGAAGTTTTTAGTCACAATCGGTTTCTTAGGTACCTTTACACGTGGACGTAAACGACGTGGTGTTTTGGGTGCTTGTAAAACGCCTGGAAATCCGAGTGGCATAGGTAATACCATGCCAACACTAGATTGTTGAGCTTGTTGGAATCTCTGGTATTGTGACTGTGCTGTGGGTAAATATTGATTGCTTGGCTGTGTAAGAGATAATGGAATGATTGATTGTTGTGAAATACGTTGTGCCTGCTGAGGTATTGGTCCAGATAAAATTTGCATTATTAATGGATTTTGTTGTGTATTACTTCCAAAAGCTGTTTGTTGATAGTTATAACCTGGCTGCACATCCCCTACAGAGAGTGTAACAGTAGTTGCCAATAGAATCGTCTGAAATGAACGAAATTTAAATAAGAATATAGTTGGAAACGTTATAGTTATTATTACACTCAGAAAAATATGCTCTAACCGCATTTATAATAAATTGAATTGATCAATTCTGTTAGAAAAAATTTAGCTCATGAGGTAAAGAAGAAAGAAAAACCAACCGGGGGGATGGGTAAACCAACATGATGTCTCGAGTAAGAATATTTTGACATGTGATTTAGTTAAAATCTGGTGAAATCAAGCAATTTATTTTTCTGAGTGTACAAATTTCAATGTTTTAATGTTATATTAGATTATAGTAGAATCTATATAGAATTCTCAAAATGTGGTGGCCAAATTGAATATTAAATTAACACCTACTGAACCAAACAACTCAAAAAGCAGCAGAAGTGAGATAAAAATGAATAAGTAGAAGTGGAGACCATATGCTTAGTCAACCGAGAAATTACATAGCAATGCAAGCGTTGGCATGGAATCCACAAGGTAGCAGAAGACCTGGTTCGCCACTGAAAACGTGGAGAAGAAGGGTCGAGAGTGAGCTAGCTAAAGCAATATATACATGGAACAATATCTACGGAGAAGCACCAAATACAGCCAGATTTAAAAGAATTATTGAGGTCCTATGTCCCACTAGGGAAGTGGACAATAGTAGAAGAAGTATTAGATTATAGTAAAAATAGTAAGCGTAATAAATTTTTATTGTTAACTTTTTTATTATATGCTATAACTATACAGAATTAGGAAGCAATAGCATTCCTATTTTAAATTTTTTTCCTTCTACTTTGTGAAAAAGTTTAATATGAACGTATTTAGAATATTCTCGTCAAAGCATTTCAAAGACAAATTCGGAAATGATTATAGAATAAGTCACAAATATCTAACTTAAGCTCAAGGTTCATTAGCACCTATAAATCCAAAATTTATTATATATTCTAAGCTTTTAAAAATTTTATTCAAGATATATCGAAACTTGTAAAAATCTTTTTGAAAAGTTTGTGAAATATATACATATTTTAAGGCAGTTCTGAAAATAATTATAAAGGATTGCACTGTATTAGTAATTGCACCATTCTTCACATTCTGTGATACTTGCATAGCAATACTCTTGTAATACTCTTTAAATATAAGCACAGTATCATCTTTCAACCTTCAATCGCTTATCAAGTGATAAAAGTATATAAGTTTTTTTATCTTAATTTCAAGAATCAAAGGTTAATTTCCTGGGAAGTCAAATGTTTCAAATTGGAAGAGTTTAGTAGAGGTGATAAATCCCAGAGTTGCAGGTGGAGTCTTCCTTAAGTACATTTTCAATCTTGGTTCATTACATATATGTATATTTAATTTTTCGGGCACTACACTGTAAATTTTATAGTCCAATTGAGGTCTGAATATTGTATTTAATCACAAATTTTATAATTTTATATTTATTAACTTTTACTTAAACTATAACTTTGCATTAGCTCTTTTAAACGACTGCACTTAACATAGTAATGTATTTTAATTCCATAGTGCAATTATTTTCTCTTTCACAGTATTTAACTATTTAGACTCTCACTTATTTTTTTAATTTTTTTTAAATTTAATATTATTTTTATTTTTTCAATACTTATATATATTTAATCACTTTTAAACATACCACAAAGATCTTCATGTTTTTACTTAATTTTTCTTTTAGTTAATTTAAGCTGTTAACTTGCTTCAAACGAAGTTTTTGGTTGACTGATGCTTAACAAAATTGCCTGATTGCTTTTATATTAACAAGGCAGTATCTGAAATGATACCAGTTAGTATCTCAAATGTGACAGCAACAATACCAACGGTTGCAGTTTGCTTTAAGACAAATGGCCTCTGCCTTCGAGAAGTTGGAA